CCGGGGCGGGTTCCCTTCCGGTCCGGCGCCGGCTGCCGGCGGCTGTTCTGCAGTGTCTAGGGCAGGAAAACCATCCTCGCTGTGGCACGACGTGGGCGTGCAGAAGCTTTCAGCCTGCGTTGCTGATGAGCAAGGACTAGTTTCACACTGGGAAGCAGAGGAGATGGAAGCGCTTTCATTCCGGGATGCTGCCAAGCTGTCTGGAATGCTTGCTTCCGTGTGAACGTAAGGGAACGGTGGGCTGGCCAAGTAGTTGGCAACAATTGGCAAATTCAAATCCTTTGCTCCTTGACATTCAGTTTCTTCCTCTGTTAATGAAGTTTAAAAAAGGAGGGTAGGGGATGGAGAAAGGAAAAAACCCACCATGTTATTGGATAGATTGTTCTCATTGTGAATATAGTTAGCTTTCCTATTGCATCTTAAAACTACATCACACTCTGAGGTAATCAAAGGATGATACTAATTTATCATAAGCATATAACACCTGGAAGGCAAGCAGCTATAAAATGAAAGAAAAATTTACAATTTTCTGCAAGGTATCATGTTTTTTAAAAGAGAAGTGGGAAAAAAATAACTGTTGAAAGATAGGTCACTTCTAGCACTGTTATCCAGCATTTTCAAAGGAACTGACTGACCCGTAGTTCTTCGCTAAATCTCAGTCTGCGATGCTTTTAATGACACTGCTGTAAATAGTTTATTATGACCCATGCCAACAAATTAAACCAAGTATTTCTTTGGGTAAGTGAATATTTGGTATGATACCCATGAAAACTCTTCTCTTGCTTAGAAGTACGGCAGTAAATGACATTGTTGCCTGACTGAGGACTACGGGACACTAGCGCTAATGTCAGAGCCGTTCAGAAAGATGTGCTCAACAGCACTATACCCCCAGAATAAAAACTGTGTAGGAGAATGTAAGCGATGCGTGTTTATTCCCCTTGAAACACGTGAAAGCTTAACAGACAGAAAACCAACACAGCCATGAACAGAGTTCACTCACGCACAGTTGCCGGTTTAGATGCTGAAAACAGAACGCAAGTCATTTGCCATGAACTAAGGCCAAGAGACCAGCACCTTGCCAAAAGCAAACAAAAATGCTCACGCAAAGAACACGCCACTCCCTCCGCTGGGACTGTTGTAACCTTAGTCACGATTTAGCTGCGACTTCATCTAAGATAACCATGCACTGTTGGTGTAAGAGCATATCATTGCAGAGAGCAATTCAAGTGCAATTAGCAAAAGACAGAACATCAACACTTCCAAAGGTGAAGCCCTTTTACGTTTTAATCTGGAGCACAGTACCTCGATGCTGATGGAAACAGGCTCTGGCAGCGTTCAAGGAGTGGTGCACACATCTAACTAGGTTTGCTATGCATACAAGAAGTGTAAGATGACAGAATTACGGGGCAAAAATCAATCACCCTGCAAGTCACAGTATAACAAAATGCTCAGAAGCCATAACTTGGAAATGCTGCCGTTGTTTGGAGTGGATTTGTAAGATTTCTTATGGTCAGACAACAGCTGTACAGTTGTGAAAGCTTCCATTTGCAGCCTGCGTGCCAGCTTCTGCTTGATGAGACCCAGCAGGACTGCAGCAGCACACGGCTCTTCAATCTCTTGATGACAGAGCTCGGAATAACCGGCCTTCCCACCTGAAACCCCCAGGCTATCTGCCCGAGTACACGCTACAGCTACAAACCGGAGCGCTCTAATGACACAACAGTCCTAGCCAAAGTTTCGCCAACCTACCGCCTCAGACAGAAGCACTCAAAATGCTTTAGTCTTTAGACCAAGAATTCTAGGTAACTTTTAAGACAAGAACGGTACCTCCCAAGATCTTCCGGATGCCCGGTTTGGAAGTCAGCTGCGCGGCCCGCTCTCCCTCGGCGGTGAGGAGCTCAGGGTCGGCGCCGGCGCCCAGCAGGCAGGACACGACCTGGGCATGGTTCCGCTTGCAGGCCCAGTGCAGACAGGTCCTGCGGGGAGGGAGCAGAGCGGCTGCTGT